TTTTTTTACTGTTGCTTAAACTATTAAAAGTCTGAAAAATATCAGTGTTGTCAATTTTTGTGACCTTTGCTGATTTTTCTTGAAGCTGCAGGAGTCATGTGCTTACTAGAGAATTTCAGTTTCATTTAATTATGCGTGTGGATAACTTTCCAACCCTCGTGGCTGGGGCAAAAAAGTGTAAAGTATGTAGCAAAGGCACCCTACAGGTGCACAAACCAGAAAGAAAAGAATCCAACATTTATTGGTTTTTTAAATTAATTTTTAAGCAAACTTTGTGATTTTTGGGGGGAGGGTCTGGCTCATGATTTAGAATAGTTGGTCTGGTAATACTGAACTCTGCTTATTTATTCAAATGTTCTTCCCCACAAGCTGATTATTGTAGGGTCAAGCATGAGAGATGGCCTATCCACATTGCTGGGTGACTAAATATGCACTAGGTTGTTCATACACTCACTTGTTATAGTGGAATTGCTTAGATCTGGGCTTTCAGAGTTCTTGAATTTAGAAGGAAAAGGGCTATTGAAATATATTTGGGGTTAGTGAATTGGGAAACAGAGTTTGTGAACAGCTTCAAGGCTGTATCCATGGAACTACTCCACCTGGAGACCTGTCCCACAAATTTCAAAAAACGCAAACTATTACATTCCAGAAAATGTAGGTTAAATTCCACCCCTGCCAGTTTTCCCTTTCACTGACAGTAGCTTGTCGTAGAAGTCAATGACTAACCACTATCTCCCTGGTAGCAGCACAAACAGCAGCACAATCATTTGCTTCTCAAATGATGTCATATTTGAATTCTGTCACTTATTGGTAGAGCTCTGCGCAGATACAAAGTTTGTATCTGCATCCACATCTGCAGATATGGCCGTCTATAACATAAAGTGGATATCTGCAGATTTGTAGGGTTTTAGATACAACATTTATTTCCACATCTATATATGCAAAAATGAGCTGTGAATATCTGCATCCGCATTCACGGATATAAAGTGGATATCCTCAGATTTTTAGGGCTTTACCTATTGGCCACATGACAACAATGGCTCAGAAAACAAATAGCCTTCTTCCAAGGGAGGCAATGAAGTAGTTCTAAAGGCTCCTTCTTTCCCAGTTCGATCTGACCAGAGGTGAAAGAAATAGTATAAAAAGCTTGAAATAGTATAAAAAGCTTAAAATGAAACAATACATTTAACTATAGACACAAAGTAATTTCAGACTCTCTCTTCAGGATTTTTAAAATATTTGTTTCTTTATTTTTATTTTTAATAGTAAAAGAACACAGAATAACCTGTCACCGTGTGTACATGCTGCAGTGTTTCATAGTGCTTTTAAATACACTTTTTTCCTTGCAACATTGCCAACTCTCACTGCTCCTGACAATTAACATTGTAGGGGCTCTCTTTTTCTCTTTCTGTCAAAGACCAAAAGAGAGCTTATTTTAAAATTCCTTTCATAAACATTAAAACTCCTTAAAATGAAAGGGAGTGACTGTCCTCTTAAAAGAATCACCCAAAACCTAAGATCAAAAGCAAGTGCCTCCAAACTCTTGCAAAACAGGTTTTCAATCAAAGATGAGAGCTGGCAGGGAATGAACTGATTTTAAACTCCTTTGAAGGGGAAATTTTTCAGTACTCTTGTGGTAGTAGGGAATGCACCAACAGAGTGTTCAAAGGAAGAACTCTGATGTTCACTAGAATGTCCCAATCTCTGGACTCCTTTAGAAAGAGGGAAATGTATGAATGTTCCAGTATTTGCTGGCAGAGAATGGTACCAATGCCACAGGTTTATGTCTCAACATGGGATGAAAATGGCAGCTTCAAGGGCTATTCTAATGCTCTTGATATATTCCTAATTAAGTATACTGGCAAGAGAGGCAATGATCACACTTCTTTGTGTGATCCAGAAACTGGAACCAATAGGCCTTTTCCCAAACAAATAGAGAGAGACAGAATGTGAGAAGGAGAGATAAGGGTCATGTAAATAGAGCAATTTAAGGTGAAAGGAAGCACAAGAAAACAGATATCCTTATTTAATTTAAAAAAAAACCTTCAAAGGCTATTACATAAGACTCAAGATAAATGGCGTAAGTCACTCATATTTAAAAGCTAAATAAAAATCTCACCTATACAGAGAAGATGTCAAGAAAGAGGAAGAGCTGTGAAAAGAAAAAAAGGTGCAAGAAATGAGGAACAACAGTGCATAGAAAAAAAAAGGTTATAGAAAGTATCTGCCTAACAAGTAGTCCAATGGTGTAGTTTGCCAGGTGCCACATAACTTGTACTTGTCATGATTACATTGCTCTATAGTATTCCCTGTTTGTGTACTACTACTAGTGACTGGCCTATAGAAAATAAAAGGAGTACTACCAACTGCTAATATCCCTTTATCTTAAAGTGGTGAGTATTGTGGGTGTTTAGATTAAAGATCCTTAAATCGGAATAGCTGGAGAGAGACCATGATGCAGCTACATATTTGTAACAGGGCTTTGTGAAGGGTGATATTAAAATTTTGGCTTACACTTTTTCTAAACATTTCAAAGTAAAAATGGAGACATATAAATCATTGATTTGACACACACAGTGTAAACCAGGGAAAGGTAAATTTCAGCACAGAAAAACCTGTGAATCTCACCATGATTAGAAGACTGACCCCATCTTTTATGAGTATCTGATAATAAAAATCACTTGAAGTCAGTGCCTATGGGAGAGCTACTGTATGCTAAATACAAGGAAGAAGGAGGTAGATAGGACTCCAACTTGTGCTAAACCAACATTGAGTTAGAAGGACCCATTTAAAGCTGGCCGGTACAGAGTCAGTACTTTCAGATGTGTCTATCCTCGATGTTAGCCCAGTATTTGTGGGACTTGAGTCAGCTGCCTGTGCTAGGAAACCCTGAACTTGAGCATCTACACCGGAAGTTATCAAACTTCATTGCACCATGACTCCTTTCTGACAACAAAAATTACTACTTGACCCTGGGATAAGTTGACTAGACAGCAAGTGTGATCAATTGGGATGAGGGTGGCAGATGAACACCTATATAAGAAAAAGCCCCAAATATCAGGACTGTCTCTATAAAAGCAGAACATCTGGTCATCCTACCCTAGGAGGGGGGACCAACGCTTAAGCCTTCCTAAGCACCGCCAAATCCCAAGAGCTTCAGCCCAGGTGGAGGCCTGTAGTCTGAGCCTCATCACCCAAGGCGGAAGCCCTGGGGCTTCAACTCCTCAGTGATGGGGGCTCAGGCATTGGCTTTGGCCCTGAGTCCCAACAAATCTAAAGCCAGCCCTGATGACTCCCATTAAAACAGGGTTGTGACCCACTTTGGGGTCCTGACCTACAGTTCATTCGTGCTTGAACCTAGGGCTCTGGTGTCCATACTTGTGCTGTCCCAAGTCTTAGTAAGCATATTGCAGTATCCCTGGGAATGCCCCTTCCCCAAAGGCAGCTGCTGAAGCCCCAGGACCATGGTGCATGGTGGGAAAACTTTACTGTGTGTCCTGCATGTCACCAGGAAGCCAGTCACTTTGCAAAAGGCTGATCACCAAGCTCTCCATTGCACACCCAGGGCAGTGGACTTGTAGATCAGTAAACAGAAAGGGAAGGATTAACATTGACCTGACACTGGCCACTTGCCATTTTCGCTAGAATCGGCAGTAGGTTGTTGGTATGGAGAAGACTAAGAAAGTTGCCCCATGGAATTGTGGGATACTTCCAGCTGATTCCCAGGAACTGAGTCAAGTGAAGCTGTCTCTACATTGCAAACCGAAGGACTGGCACCTTGGGTCTCCTCTTAATTTGAGCAGAACCCCTCCAGCCCTGCAGGGTCCTGGAATCATGGGGTTGATCCCTAGGACTGTGGTGCACCATGGGAAAATTTTTCTGCACATCCTGCATGTTACTAGGAAGCAACTTGCTTTGTGAAAGACTTGATTAGTTTACTCTCGGCTGCAAACTCAGTAGGCTCTGTGGGTTAACACTGAGCTGCTGCCATTTGCAAAGGGGGCATGTCTTCTATTGTCAATAGAGTGGATTGCGAATTGGTGGGATATGTAGGACAATGCATGTTGTCCCATGGAATTGTGGGATACATTTGGCCAACTCCCAGGACCTGAATCAAGTGTGGCTGCATCTACACTGCAAAGCAATAGGGCTTGGACCCTGAGTCCTGGCTAAACCCAGATTTGGACCTCCCAGCCCTGCGGATTCTAAGTCTGAATACTGAGTTAAGCACAATTACAGTGTAGGTGCAAAAGGGGTTAGGCTTGAGCCCAGGCTCAAGCACAGGCCTACGTTGTCCTGTAAACATCCCCTTAATGTGCTGTGTGTCACTGCTAGGTGACAATGGCGATGCTTCCCTGTTTTCTTCACTGACATAGACAAGCAATTCCTCATGCTCATATGGTGGCAGGGCTAGGAAGGGATTTCTAGATGTAGACCATGAAAGTTTATCTCACCCTGAGAGTCATTTGATTAGCATGGCAGCCCCTCAGGAAAGCAGAGGGGAGTAAGGGCTGTGATAGGTTTAGCTAGTGATATTGCACATTCAGACTGTCACCTGTCTTTATTGGAGCAACAGAAATCTAATGACTGCTCCACTGACCAGTGGATAATACAGGGAACACATAGTATTCCCAAACCCTTCTGGTCTATGAGGGTGAATTTTAGTGACAAATTCGAGCTCATATGAGTCTCCAGGATAACCTTCCTAATGAACGGTGGCATGGTGGCTGTATAGGTGACTCTCAGGCCACTTAAAAAACAACAAATAGTCTGGCAGCACTTTATAGACTAACAAAACATGTAGATGGTATTATGAGCTTTCGTGCATGAAAGCTCATGATACCATCTACATGTTTTGTTAGTCTATAAAGTGCTGCCAGACTATTTGTTGTTTTTTAAGTGGCCTGAGAGTCACCTATACAGCCACCATGCCACCGTTCATTAGGAAGGTTATCCTGGAGACTCATATGAGCTCGAATGGACACTTTTTCCTATGAATATGCACAGAGCAATTGACTACTGGCTCAGATATCATGGGAATATTATCCACACCTGTTGGACTTCATATATAGATGGAAAGCCAAGGCAGGAAAATGTTCTGAGAGTGGGGGATGAATTTAATCCAGAGTTAATGTCATAGGGTTGAGGGCAGAAATACAGGATAAGACTTCAAATAGGCACATACAGACTATGTCTCAGGTAACTGGAAGTGGGAGGTAGAGGGTGAAAAATCATACATACATCACCCAGGCATTAAAAGATATAGGTGAGATTTCACACACATGAATACTCCAGGGAGAATATGGGACATTTTACAGAGATGTTTAAACATTTCTATTAGTTTCATCAGATGAGGCAAGGTGAATATTCAGGGTCCCTGACAGCTTCTTGCCAAGTTCATCTGAGAAGGAATTGCTTTGAACTAGGTGAATCTCATGAAGCCACCTGGTACATGGTCAACAGAATGTCAGCAGCTGGATGGAAGGACCAAAAATAAGTGTCAATGGTGAAGAAGACCATTCTGGAACCTTGGACGATATCAGGGATGCCAGGACTGAGGCTGGTGACTTAGATGATGCCAAACTGTGCCAGCTCATGCAGTTCCAGATGGCTGAAAGCCTCCCATGGACAGATCACTGTGATATCTGCAAGAGAGAGAAAGAGAAACTGGATAAGTGCTGTACAAGTTCAGTATGCCCCATTGAATCTTCTTTAGGAATGGGCAGGCTGATTGATTAAAGAAATACTGTTAGGTGAAAAGGAAAGGAAAATGGGCCTCTATTAAAAGATTAGGCAGAGAAGTGAAGGACAGTATTTTCTCACCCTGTCAGTGTAAGAGTTGGCAAACTCATGCACCTTGCTACACTGAACTAGATCAATGGTTCTCATGTGACATCTCACCTTTTGCTGCATCATATAGTCCATGTAGTTTTGTATCTCATCTCCAGCACCTGATAACTAGAGCTATGCTCATTTAAAAATGTTTGATTATTTTTGCCTTCCCATTAACTTGTTTTTATAGCCAGATTGTGATTTTCTTGAATACTTTTGTTATCCTGGCACACAGTTCTTGTTGTGTAGATTATTGAGGTGTATCTTATTTTTAAAATCTGAGCTCTTTTGGACAGAGATCATTTGGTGCATTTCTGGTCACTGGTTGGATATGTGTAACTCTTGGAACCAGGATTCTGGTGAACGTGCTAACAATTAGCAATTTGAAATTAACTTTCTGTGTTTTTTCCTGTGTTCTTGGTGTTAAAGTGACTGTTTCTGTGATCCTTCCTGATGATGAAGTCATTTGCTAGAATAGTTGCAGAAATCAAGCACAAGTGAGCCCTGTCAGACCCAAGTGAATCCCTTTACAAATTCAAACAGACATGAATAGCCTTTTATCATAGTATTTGCCTAATTCCACAGCTGATAGAAGATTGCAAGGAAGGGAGGCCAGAACACCCACAAGGTACCTTTGCCACTTGTGCAGTGCTACATTATGGAGGGGGCAAAAAGAAACTTATACCTGACCATAGCAGGCAATCATCTTAAGCCTTGAAGCATGAAGGTTGATTTTTCTGCTGTCTTGGATGGTTTAGACACAACAAATCTTGCATCTTGTCAGGGGGTTAGACTAAATGACTTTTGTGGTATGTCTACACTGCATACTTATTTTGAAATAAGCTATTCTGGAAGAAATACTCTGAAATAGCTTATTTCAAAATAGCACAGCTACACTACAGGGAAGCCTCAAAATCAGTTCGAAATGGCCCTGGTGAGGGGCTATTTTGAAATAGCAGCAGTAGAGCATATACACATGCCTTATTTCGAAATAGGCATTTTGGAATAGCCGTTATTCCCTGTAGAATGAGGTTTATAGATTTTGGAATAAGCCATCCATTATTTTGACATTATTTCAAAATAATGGAATGGCTGTGTAGCGCTCACATTGTTATTTCAAAATAACGCTAGTTATCTCGAAATAACGGTGCAGTGTAGACACACCCTTACTGTCCCTCCTAATTCTATGATTCTATGCATTTGTAACAGAAATACAAGAACAGTATTACATATGACTTACCTGTTCCAAGTCCTTCCATTCCTGGAATGTCATCTCCAAACCTGTGAGAAAGGACAACAGAGGAGAGGTGAGATTGGAACAGAACCAAAAGAGAAGGATCACTTCACACAGGGTCTTTCCCAACGGAAGGGAGATTGGGTCAGCACTTGACAAAAGGGAATAGCTCAATGAGGATTTTGCTATACAGGCAGTCCCCGACTTACGCGGATCCGACTTATGTCGGATCCGCACTTACGAACGGGGCTTTCTCGCCCCGGAAGTCGGGGCAAGAAAGCCCCGTTGGTAAGCTGCTCCGGTGCCCCTGGTCTGCTGGAGACCGTCTCCAGCAGACCAGGGGCACCGGGCGGGTTCCCGCGCTTCTGAGGCTTTGCCAGAGC